CTCAGCCTCCTCAGTAGCTGTAATTACAGGTGCCCACCACCATGCCCAGCAAATTTTTGCATTTTTAGTAGAGACGGGGTTTCACCATGTTGGCCAGGCTGGTCTTGAACTGCTGACCTCAAGTGATCCGCCCCCGCTCGGCCTCCCAAAGTGCTGGGATTATAGGCGTGCACCACCACACCTGGCCACACATGGCACATTTTCTGCCTGTGCGTGTGTCAATGTATGCCCCCGAGTGTCAGGAGTCCCCGGCCTGAACCCAGAGCCCCACGCGCCGGTGTGCACCTTCTCAAAGTGGCCGCTGCGGATGTAGTAGTCGGCGAGTGAACACCAGAGTTTGCCCAGTTGGTCAGTGAAGCGGGTGAGGCCCCCACGGATGATGGCGTCCACGTTGAGGGACTGGACCTTGTCCGGGTTCTGGGAGATGAGGTCGCACAGCTCGTGCCACAGCTGCAGGGCATGGGGTGGAAGGAGTCTCGAGCTCAGTCACAGAGCAGGCAGCCCTCCCACCCAGCTCCCGGTTCCCGGGAGGCCCACCTGGTAGTTGGACTTGCCGGCCTTGGACACGAAACGCTCGTCGTTCACCACTGTGGCCAGGCGCTGTGCAGCTTCATCCAGCCGGTCACTTGACTTGAGGTACTCGATGTACTCCTCTGCGCTCTCAGGACTCAGCTGGGGACCGACCCACCTCTCTGGCAGTCAGTGAGGTGGCAGGGCCACACCCACATCCCAAAATTCAGTGGCTCTGGGGCGCCCCCCACCCATTTACCACTGTCTTGGACAAAAGCAAGCCCTGTCAAACCAGCCTCAGCCCCACTGGTCCAGCCCTGGTTCCTACTGGTCTAGCATCAGCCCCATTGGGTTAGGCGCTTAACCCCCTATGGGTCCAGCCTGACTAGACCATCTTTGGACTTTCTGGGTTAGCTTTGACCCACAAGAACACAGCCTTGACTACAGTGGTCTAGCCTCAGTCCCAATGGTCCAGTCCTGGTCCTTTTGGGTTCGACTTTACCTTCCACCCATAATGGGTCCAGCCTTGGCTCCAATGGTCGAGCCTCAGTCCTGACTGGCCTAGCCTTGGCCCCTTTGGGTTAGCCTTGATCCCATGGGTCCAGCCTTGACTACTACTACTACTAAGAGACCTTAGGAAACAGGAATTGCCCAGGTGCAAGTCTCAGTTTAAGAGAATACGTGGGGCTGATTACTTGCAGCAAAGAGAGGCGACCCATGGAAGACACCACATTGGCTCTCAAAGCTTTTTCAAAGCACATGAGGCCTAAAGTAAGTGGGAGAGGTCCCATCAAGGCTTGGAGAGGGAGTGAAAGTGTTGGGAGGTCCTCATTCTTGGGTAGATGAGTGGGAAGGACACGGGCAGCCTATCCAGGCCCAAATCAGGGCATGGCATCTATGGCCAGGTGGAGACAGCACTGTTCTGTGATGATAGCTTCTCCTGGAAAAGCTGAGCCCAGCACCAGTGTAGTCAAGCCCAGGTGTCCAGCCTGGGCCCCATCGGTCTAGCCTCAATCCTGACTGTTCCAGCTTAGACTCCAAGTGTCACAGAACAGATACTGTAAGTTTGAACAAACCATGCCACACTCTCCACCCTGCCTGCTGTACATCCCCACAGTTCTCTCCACCTACTATTCTTGGCCCTCATGGCTGTGGTTTTATTCTGGTTCATGCCATCAGCTCATATGCATCTGTCTTCCTAGTGAGACTAAAAGGTACGTGCAGACAGGAAGTGTCGTAGTCACATGGTCCTCAGCACCCATCTCTATGCCTAATGCGAAACTGGTATAAGCAAACTGTTTGGAAAATAAACACAAGAATCATGAACAACAAAACACAAGTGTCTCCAGGAGCCTCTTCCCACATACTGTCTGTTAGGTGGCATCCTACACAGAGCTGGTGTCCCAGTGAGGCTGTTTCTGGAAACTCTAACCTGGGGAACTAGCACACCTGCTGGGCTCACCTTGAGGAAGCGCCGGTAGCCACGCACAGCTGTCTCGGGCAGTGGGTGTGAGCGCAGGAAGCGCAGATACAGGGGCCAAATTCGAGAGTGCTGTGTGATGGGCAGCGCCCGGAGGGCACGGTCGAAGGTGCGGCGGGTGTGTGTGACACGCCCCTGGTCCATCAGGAACTGGCAGTAATCTAGCCACAGACGGGGCATCTGGGGATATGGGGAGAGGCGGCTGGGGCTAAGCCATGGACTCCTTGACCTAGCCACAGACACTCGATGTCCTGTGGCTGAGCCACACCTAGGGCCACCACATAAATGCAGGGGGACCAAGAAACCCCCAGCTCCAGGACTGAATCCAACCCAACTTCCCATGCAGAGAAGCAACAGGACTCCAAGCCCCCATCCCTATTATACTGAGCCAGCCCCCACACCCACCCCACCCACCACCATGGACTGAGCCCCACCTCCCCACTCATCCCCTTGCCCAGGCCCAAACCTTGTGCATAAACACAAAGGCCCTCTCATGACAGTTGTTGACATCTTCATAGGCGGGGTCGGTCACACAGCGATGCTTCACCTGTGCCCGACGTGCCTTCAGGTATCGGTACCAGAGTTTGTAGCTGGGGAACAGGAGGTGACAGACGCTGATTGGTCAGCTTTATGGACCCTCCCAGAACCGCCTGCCCTGCCCCAGTTGGCAACTGTGAGAAGAAGGGGTATGGAGTGGGGGTGGTGGCATGTCTCAGCAATGACGGGACAGACTGGGACATCAGGGAAGGTGTGCTGACCCATCAAAGGATTTACAAGTCATCAATGGAACACAAAGCAATCACCTGGGACCTGTCTGCCAGTTTTGTTATAATGGGACCAGGTGGTGTGGGGGCTGGTGGGCAGGGCAGCTGGAGCCATTCCCACCTGCAAGGCAGGAGCTTGAGTGCCCGCTCGTACAGCTGATTGAGCCTGGGCTTCGGGGAGCCCTGTTTGAACTCAATGTAGCGAAGCCAGCATTTGACAGAGAACTGGTTCCGCATGATTTCTTCCTCATAGGGGAGGTCCTCTTCCTCCTGCCAGGGCCAGGGAATGGGAAGAAGAGAGACCTACCCTCAGAGCCTGTGTGCAGCACCACCCCACTACTAGGGCTCAGGTCCAAACTCTGGACTTTTACCCGGACCCCACCACCCACCAAGGAAGTCAGGTCACTGGATGCCCAGACACCGAGACACTGGTCCAGAACTTCACCTTCAGAATTCGACTCCCCACAACTGAACCCAAACCATCAGACTTCTGGTTTAGGGCTCTGGGCCAGGCATGAGTTCGCATCACCACCTGCTCTCTGCCCCAGATTATCTGACTCCTTAGACAGCAAGGCCCTGGCCCAGATGCCAGGCCTCTGTCCTGGACACCAGACCTCAGTTCTTCAAAACATGCCTCTTCAGCTGGGCACAGTGGCTCATGCTTGTAATCTCAGCACACTGGGAGGCTGAGGTGGTCAGATCACCTGAGGTCGGGAGTTTGAGACCAGCCTGACCAACCTAGAAAAACTCTGTCTCTACTAAATATACAAAATTGGCTGGGTTGCAGTGGCTCACGCCTGTAATCCCAGCACTATGAGAGAGCAAGGCAGGCAGATCACCTGAGGTGGGGAGTTCAAGACTAGTCTGACCAACATGGAGAAACCCTGTCTCTACCAAAATTACAAAATTAGCCGGGCGTGGTGGAACATGCCTGTAATCCTAGCTACTCGGGAGGCTGAGGCAGGAGAATTGCTTGAACCTGGGAGGCAAAGGTTGCAGTGAGCTGAGATCGTGCCACTGCACTACAGCCTGGGAACAAGAGGGAAACTCCACCTCAAAACAAACAAAATTAGCCGGGGGTGGTGGCACATGCCTGTAATCCCAGCTACTCCGGAGGCTGAGGCAGGAGAATTGCTTGAACCTGGGAAGCAGAGATTGCAGTGAGCCGAGACTGTGCCATTGCACTACAGCCTGGGCAACAAGAGCAAACCTCCGTCTCAAAAAAAAAAAAAAAAAAAAAAAAAAAAAAAAAAAAAGTGCCTCTTCCCAGATACCAGGCCTTCTGCCTCTCAGGCTCCCCTTGTCACCACTCCAGGCCCAGATAACCAGACCTTTATCTCAGCCACCAGGGCTCTCAGATCCAGGTTCCAAAGCACTCTGCCCCAGAAGTTAAAAGCTAGGCTTTTATCTCATAAGAGGAGTTATGGTCCAGAAGTCAAGCCTGTAACTCTGGCCACCAACAATCTGATGAAGATGTCATGCCTCTACTCCAGACAGTAAATAATTCACTGGCCATCGCCTCACAAGCTCCACATCACCAGGGTTCTTCTAGCCTGACCCCCAAATCTTTACCCCAGAAACTGTAATGCTGCAGTCCAGGCCTAGACCGCTATCCAGAAAACCAAGCCTTCATCCCGGAAACCAGAGCCCGGGGTTCGTAATCACGCCTTTACTTCAAACACCGTTCTTTACCTCTCAAGATTCAGTTATGCCACCTCCCTCCTCACCCATTCCCTGAACGCCTCCATTTCCGCCCCTGGCTTGGGAAGCTAGACGCTTCACTTCGACAGTAGTTTTCTACTCAGGCCCCAAAATACACCACCATATCTTTACTCCTGGCCAGTCCTGTGCGGACATCACCATACGGTTTCTGTCCCGTTAGGGTTCCCAGCCCCGCCTGGCAGCTTTGGCCTAAATCCCCTTGGCGAACAGGCCTCGATCGCCTGCGGCGTCCAGGTCCCAATGCCCCAAGGCAGGCCACCCCCGGCAACTCTGCGGACTCACGAAGACAAGGTCCGGCCGCTCGGGCCGCGAGAGTCGCGCCATCACCACCATTTTCCTGGATGCCCAGGCACAGGCGAGAGTCGCGTATTTATGACGTCTAAAATTACGGCCCGCCTCTCCACGCCAGACCCATTTTCTATTGGTTAAATCCTTCTTGACTGACAGGCTCGCGTTACCGGCCCTCGTTTCGACGCCGCCAGCGACCGGAAGCAGATATCGGGCGCCCGAAGACTACGTCATGAAGACACACATTGGCCAATCAGCTTCAGTAGTGGAGCGTGCGAAACACCAATGAACTTCTGTCTTGCTGGAGTGTCGGCTTTGGGCGGAAGTGGCTTTCTTGACCGGGAGAAACGAGATGGGGGTGAAGGTGGAGGTATTTCGGGTCAGTGAACACAGGAGTGGGTTGGGAGGCTGGGCAGGGGATCTTCCCGGATCTGAGGATGAGGCTGGAGATCGGGGACTTTTCAAACGAAGAAGGCGCTCCAAGGAGAAAGCTCTTGAGATTTGAGAGGAACTTTTCTGGCTGGAAATCCAGGAGAGGGGACACTAGGTTGGGGGTTCTCGGATTTGGGCTTCTGGGTTTGGGGGCTGTGAGAGGGCTGGTGTGAGGAAGGACCTCAGAGAAGGGTGACCAGAGAAGGGGGCTCTAAAGAAGGAAAACTTAAGATCCTGGGGCAGCTCTCGGGCTCGTGGTGGGTGGGTGTCTCTGATAGGAAGACTCCTCTAGACTTAGAGAAGTAGAATTGAAGAGTGAGGCCTCCTGGGCTTGGGGGTGCTCCCGCGATCTTAAGTGTGGAAGGGTAATGAGATCTCCAGGAGATGCTTTTGAATGTAGCTGGGGCGGTGTGCGTGTGTGTGTGTGTGTGTCTGTCTGTCTGTCTTTGAGAGGAAGACTCCATTTCAGAGGGGACTTTCAGGAATTAGGCCTCCTGGATTATAGGAGTTACGCTTTAGGGCGTGAGGCTTGGGAGTTCTGGAGTTCTTGGGGAGGCCCTGAGGAGGAGCTCCTGGTTCCTGGACTCTACAGTAGAATGGGTCCCCCAGGCTCTGAGCAGCCTCTGCATGTTGCTTGTGGGGGGGGGGGGGGCGGGGAACTCACCTCACCCACCCTCTGCTATTCCAGATGATACTCTACCTCACTTTCCCTGTGGCTATGTTCTGGATTTCCAATCAGGCCGAGTGGTTTGAGAACGATGTCATACAGCGCAAGGTGGGCATAAGAGGAATGTCCAAGGGTTCATTGCAGAGGTGGGAGAGGGTGCGGGGCACCAATCTGCTGGGGACCCATGTCTGCCTCCCATGAGCCTACCTTGCCCTGGGTGTGGGGCTCTGGAGGCTCTTGACTCATGTCCCAGTTGTGATTTTTCCCTACAGAGGGAGCTATGGCCACCTGATAAGGTAAGCAATCTCCTGTTCTTCCTACCACAGGGATGGAGGAGGCTGGATTCCTGTGTCCAGGATGGGTTTCAGATGAAAATTTTAGGCCGAGTACAGTGGCTCATGCCTGTAATCCCAGGGCATGGGAGGCTGAGGCAGTGGATCACTTGAGGTCAGGAGTTCAAGACCAGCCTGGCCAACATGGTGGAACTCCATGTCTACAAAAATATCAAATTTAGCCAAGCATGGTGGCGGGCGCCTATAATCCCAGCTGCTCGGGGGGCTGAGGCAGGAGAATCACTTGAACCCAGGAGGCAAAGGTTACAGTGAGCCCAAGATTGTGCCACTGCACTCCAGCCTAGGCGACAGAGAATTCATCTCAAGAAAGGAAAGTTTTATCCTCGGCCATGAGTAGGGAACTGAGCAGAGGAGTGGGTGGTTTCCTTATTGCCTTCTCCTGGAAGAATGAAGCGGATCCCACTTGGATCCTGTTGTAATTGGCAGGGGACTTCCAGTAGAGACACTGAAACTTGAAGCCGTGGTCTGGGCAGGGTGGTGAGAGAATGGGAAAGGGATCTAGTCCCTGAGGTGTGCACCCCTCCACCCTTCCTGTCCCCCTTCACCCCTACTTCCCCGCCCCTAGCGTCAGGAGTTAGAAGAATTCAAAGAGAGGATACGGAAGCAGCGGGAGGAGAGGCTCCTTCGTGCTGCCCAGCGGAACTCCTGAGGCCTCCAAGTGGGCGTCCTAGCCCCTCCCCTGATGAAATATACACATACTCAGTTCCTTTTGCTCATGGAAGTGTTTTATTTCTTTTATCAGCTTTTGGGGGCCAAGTGAGGCCCAAGATGGCTCAGGCCCTCAGGGGGCTTGTGTTGGGGGTTGAGGGCTGCTGTTCCGACGGAAGCCAAGAGCAGTCGGGTCCTGAGGGGTGAGCAAGGGTTGGGGACTGAGGGTCCCAGCTCGTTTCTGTGCTCCGTCCTGTGGATGAAGAGGGGTCAACCAGGCGGAGGGCTCAAGAGCAGTGCCAGCCAGAGGTGGCAAACATTGGAGAGAGAGTGCTGGTGGGCACATGTCCCACCTCATCCTGAGGACTGGTCTGTGTCTGCCCTCAATATCTGCCATTTAGGGTGATATGTGAGTGTGAGGTGGCAGGTCTTGGGGTCCTCGCTGGGGTCTTGATCAGAACCCGAGCTTCATGTATGTATGACATCAACACATGTGAGTATGCAGATATATGTATCCTGTGCGTGAGCTCACATGCCCTCCTCCCTGGGATATCTTCCTAGAAAGGGGTCCTATTTTCTCCCTTTGGCCTCCCCAGAATCTTCAGACTTGGGGGCAGGAGCCACAGTTTCAGCCGTGGGTCTGACACTGGCATGGCCCCTGTATAACCTTGGGTCCCCCTACCCCATGCCTTGGCCTTGGTCCCCCTATCTGAAGTCAGGGTGGAGGATGGACAGGTGGGGCAGTCCCTATTCCCTCCTGGCTGGGGTGGGGGGCAGGATCGGAGAGCATGGCCTGGCAAGTATCTCCTCAGCACCGACAGAACATCACCTACCTTGGGCCCCACGGGCTGGAAGCCAGGCAGGTTGCTGACTGTCACACGTTGGTCATCCATGCGGCGGCCCTGGGTGCTGGCCAGCATGTCCATGAGGCTGTCCATCTCGGGTGTGGGGCCGCTCTCTGTGTGGATGTATACAGACTTCAGAGGACACAGCTGGACTGGCCCCCAACCCCACCCCTTCGCCCCATGCAGATGCTTCAGGGTGCACCACCACCTCCCACATGCCGTGCCCCCAGGCCTTCCAGATGACCACTCGCCCTGCACTCCCGCCCCGTTCATGCCCCATGGACAGCACCCCTGTGCCCACGCTCACCACTCTTGGTGGTCTGGCCTGGCCCGGCCTGCAGTGAACAGCGCTGCCCCTCCATCCGGTCACCCTGCACGTGGCTCAGCAGATTGAAGAAGCCCTCCTGGTCTGGGGAGCCCGCCTGAGGACAGACCTGCTCAGTCTGGTTGGCCCTTCAGCTTAGGGGCCCCTCCCCAGCCCTCCCAGCCCACTGGCTCCCACCCTGACCCCGGGGCCTGCCATCCCCTCTTCCTCAGATCTCACCATGGTCCCTGCCGATCCCCTCTGCAGAGCTGCTCTGAATGAGACATGAGTCTCCTTCCCAATCCCGGCCCCCACCCCAGCGGTCCCAGCCAGCAGTGCCACTTCACGTGGTGCCGCCTCAAGGGACAAGCTGCGATGCCAGCATCCCACCGTCCTAGATTGGGGCCTGAGGAGTGTGGCCTGAGAGCTGGGACACGAATCAGGGAAACACGGCCCAGGAGCCACCCCCAGGTCCCAGCATCTCCCATCAACAGGGGTCCACACGAAGAGCTCTGCCCTCTACCCTGGGGCCTGGCACTCAGACCTCCAAGCCCACCAGCCCCTGTCTGCAGCCATAAGTGGATCAGGGGGTCCTAGGAGACTCACTCGCTAATTAGGTGCCCTACAAACTAATTAGTCTTGTCAATTATGGGCTCTGAGACCTTGAGCTGGGGTTGGGGTGGGGGCAGGGCCCTCTCACCTCCGTACAGGGGCCTGAGCCTTCCTCTGTCTTCTCCTCCAGATCCATCATGTCACTGGACTCCAGTCACTTTCCTGCTGGCCTCTGTCCTAGCCCAGTGCCAGAGAGGGCCTTTTAAATGTCTGGGACGTGGGGGTGTGCCATCTCCAAATCCCTAGCTCATGCCCCATCTGCTCCCACCCAAGCTTAAGCCCCATAAAGATCATCCAGATAATTGTTTGCCCACAACGATGCCGGATCTGGCATGGGGGGTAGGGGGCAGGGTGACCTGAGCTTGGACCTCACTGGACCCAGCAGCAATGACCAGACCCCCAAGGACTGTCGGGTGTGGTGTCACAAAAGGCCTGAGCTGCATCCCGGAGAAGGCAGGATAGGGTAGTAGCCGGCTTGGGTGGGGACTTGCAGGTGTCCCCACCCAGCCACCCAGGTCTCCCTGCTGGCTCCTGGAAGGGCAGCTGCCACCTGCAATCAGTAGAGAAAGAGGAAGTTGGAGTCAAAGTCCCCTTCCCTGCCCCTCTCCCTCTCTATACCCTCCTCAGACACCCCCGGCCAGCCTAGCTCCAGCTCTGTCTCCTTGGCAGCAAGTCAAGGGGTCTCCCGGCCACCCTTCCCTCTACTCACTGTCCCTGGGGCCTGGCTGCTGGCCCAAGACCCCAAAACAAGAAAGTCTGGGATCTCTTGTCCCCATGCCACCCAGATGCCAAGTTGAGCTGTCTCCTCTAATTTATCACCCCAGCCCTAGGTGGGAACAGGAGGCAAATCTCCCTGGGGACAGAGGCAGGCAAGGAGGAGAGGATGTCCCTGCTTTCTCCCTCGAGCTGTTGTGGCTTTCCCTCAGTGCCCAAGGAGGGGATGTCACAGGGAGGTTCTCATCCCCTTCCCTGCCCTCCCCAAGACACCTTTACGGAAACCATCGAGAGTCTCACGTCAATGAATGGGCTGAGCTATCGCCACCTCTGCCCGAGGCTTCCCTGTTCCATCAAGGGCCAAGTTCACACCCTCTTCCTCCATGCAAGGAACTGTCCCCCTCCTCAGTGCATGTAGCTCTCTCCTTTCCTGGGACTCCCAGAGCAAAGTGTTACAGACCAAAAGGCTTAGAGCCACAAGGATTTGTTTTTATTTTACATACGTACATATACATATTTTATAGAGGTGAGGTCTCACTATATTGCCCAGGCTGGTCTCAAACTCCTGGGCTCATGTGATCCTCCCACCTGGGCCTCCCAAAGTACTGGGATTAGAAGCATGAGCCACCATGCTCAGCCTTTAAATTTTTTTTTTTTTTTTTGAGACAGAGTTTCACTCTTGTTACCCAGGCTGGAGTGCAATGGCGTGATCTCGGCTCACTGCAACATCCACCTCCTGGGTTCAGGCAATTCTCCTGCCTCAGCCTCCTGAGTAGCTGGGGTTACAGGCACACGCCACCGTGCCCAGCTAATTTTTTTGTATTTTTTTTAGTAGAGACGGGGGTTTCACCATGTTGACCAGGACGGTCTCAATCTCTTGACCTCGTGATCCACCTGCCTCGGCTTCCCAAAGTGCTGGGATTATAGGCATGAGCCACCACACCCGGCCTAAATTTTTTTTTCATGGAAAATGTATTGAGCCAACGTTCTGGAGCCCAGAAGCCTGAAATCAAGATGTCGGCAGAGCTGTGCTCCCTCTGAAAACTAGGTCTCAGGATCCCTCCTTGCCCCTCCCTGGCTTCTAGTAGTGGCCTGCTGTCCTTGGTGTCCTTGGCGTGTCATTGCACATCTTCAGTCCCTGCCTCTCGGTCACATGGCATTCTCTGTGTGTCCCAGTCTTCCTATAACCATCTTTTTTTTTTTTTCCCCCAGCCACCTACACAGAATCAGGGAGACATCTGATGATCTTATGAGGACACCAGTGATGCTGCGTGAGGGGCCGCCTACTCCAGCATGATCTCATCCTCACCGCCAATATCTACAATGACCCCATTTCCAAATAAGGTCCAACTGGGAGATATTGGGGATTAGAACTTCATATCTTTTGGGAGTTGGGGTGGGATGGCTGGCCCTATCAACTCTCCCTCCCCGCAAGGGGTCAGGCTGAGAAGCTGGAGGTGATTCTGGCTTCCATCCTTCCCCCGCAGGACCTGGAGGGGCCCCTGCCTTCCCCTGCTCAAAACTCTTCCCTGGGCCCCAGTTGTTCTCAAGACAAAACCCAAATATCTTAGGGTTGTGGAAGTGTTCTAAAATGGATTGTGGTGATGAATGCACAACTCCAAAGACCCTAAAAGCCATTGACTTATGCACGATACATAGGTCAGCGAGTTACACGGTATGTGAATTATGTCTCAGTAAAGCTGTTTAAAAAGGGGGAAGGGGCAGGGTGCGGTGGCTCACACCTAAAGTCCTAACACTTTGGGAGGCCAAGGCAGGAGGATCTCTTGAGCCTGGGAGTTCGATACCAGTCTGGGAAACATAGAGAGACCCTGTCTCTTTAAAAAAAAAAAAAAAACTCAGCTGGGCAAGGTGGTGTGCACCTGTAGTCCCAGCTGCTTGGGAGGCTGAGGTGGAAGGATCCCTTGAGCTCAGGAAGTTGAGGCTGCAGTGAGCTATGATCATGCCTCTGCCCTCCAGCCTGAGCAACAGAGTGACATCCTGTCTCTTTACAAAACAAAAAACAAAAATGGGGAGGAGAGAGAAGAGGAATAAAGGAATAGGAAAGGAAGAAATAGCCACACTCCTTCCTAGGGTCGCCTGTGACAAAACCATCCTGGTTTGCCTGTGACTGTCCTGTTTTTAGCACTGAAAATCCTGCATCTTGGCACTGGGATGGGTCAGTCAGACCTCAACCTATAGAAGTCTGACCCCTACTGCCCCCACCCTCCCTCCAGCCTTCGTAAGTTCATGGCCCCTCCCTTCTCTACTGGACATTGCTATGGGGCTGCTTCTAGAATTCCTTTAGGGATAACACCTAAAGGCTCCTTCTTCAGAGAGGCCCTCGGGAGTCACCCTCAATAAAGTCCCCTCCTACCCCTGCCTTTCCTGGTACTCACTGTCACATCAGTTTATTTCCTTTAGGGCAGCACTGATCCTCTTCTTGTCTTCTTTTCTTTTCTTTCCTTTGAGACAGAGTTTCGCTCTTGTTGCCTAGGCTGGAGTGCAATGGCGCGATCTTGGCTCACCGATTCTCCACCTCCCAGGTTCAGGTGATTCTCTTGCCTCAGCCTCCCGAGTAGCTGCGATTACGTAGAGGGTAGATCCCGTAAGTGCTGGGGCAGGAGCCAAAAGCCTCAGCCTATTTCTATATAAATAATGAAGAAAGTAACTAGAAATATGACTGTAGTAGTTATTAGCTATTCACATGTGATCTTAGTTATTCATAGGTGATCCTAATTCTTTGACTAATGCCTCTCAGGTCGGAAGTGTGAACCTGGAGAGACACTGAAAGGAATGACCCAAAGGCAACACGCTTTAAGCCCTCTGTCCCGCCCAAATAAGGGCAGCTGGAGGGCGCCTTAGAGTCAGAGCTGGGAAAGTGCCCACTGTTTAGCCAGCTAGGGAAGGAGCTGTCCACGATGGCCGAGACGTCTCCTTCCCCAGAGGAGTTAGGAGAAAACTCGGCTCCTCCAAGCTCTTGCGGTAGGCCTGATGCTGTCAGGAAGGCCCACAGACATCTGGGGGCTTACCTGTCTCTATGTGATGCTGTGTTTCAGTGGTCACGTTCCACGTCCACTTTCACATTCCACTTCTGCACCTGGTTCCTTGTTTCTCAGAAGAGATAATCAGTAAAAGAATATGAATCTTAATGTCTTTGTTCTTTCCTAACAAGTATGGAAAAGTGCTGATGCATTAGGCTCCTTACCTCGTCTCGGCTACCCGAAAGTCTTGAGCCGCTACCTGTATGACACGTGGTGTACTTGACCCTATCACTGCCACGCCCTGTCTACCCTGCCCCCAGTCCCCGACCACCAAGACCACGCCCTACTTGCCCTACCCCAGTCACTGACCACCAAGGCTACGCCTACCTACCCTGCCCCCAGTCCCCGACCACCAAGACCACACCCTGTCTACCCTGCCCCCAGTCACCGATCACCAAGTGCCAAGGTCTGGGCACTCAGGGTCACTGCAGGACTCTGCGATTTGGTTGGCAGTGGATCCCCAGGCCCAAACTCTCTTTCCTCTGTGTCTCATGTCTTCTATTTCTACAATTTCTCATCTCCACACCAGCAGAGAGGGGCTCACAGAACCCTATAGTGCTGGACCCTACAAGATTACAGACATGCACCATCACACCCGGCTAATTTTGTATTTTTAGTAGAGATGGGGTTTCTCCATGTTGGTCAGGCTGGTGGTCTCGAACCTGAGCAACAGAGTGACACCCTGTCTCTTTACAAAACAAAAACAAAAATGGGGAGGAGAGAGAAGAAGGAACAAAGGAATAGGAAAGGAAAGGAAAGGAAGAAATAGGTGATTCGCCTGCCTCGGCCTCCCAAAGTGCTGGGATTACAGGCAGGAGCCACCGCACCTGGCCGCATTAATCCTTTTCTATCTCCCTCAGGCCTCTGGGTCCCCCAGGCCCTATGTCCCATGTAAATGGCAGGGGCTTGGTACCTTTATCAACACGACCGCGTGAAGGAACCAGCTCAGACCACCAGGAGTCTATTTGCACACATACCTCCCAGCCACTGAAATTTCGAGTGTGGATGCGTGTGTGTTTGCCAGCATTTGAGGGTGTCACTCTCCCCATGTGTGTATCAGCATGTGAATTCGATTGTTGGCTCATGAGGGTAAATGTGGCTGCACCCGGAAGAGAGTAAGACTGTGACAAGCGCTCCCTGGGGACAGGCTCCTGGCTGGAATCCCAGGAGGCTCACTCGTCGTGGCCTTGGATTAGGGATCCCGCTAAGCCTCGGTTTCCTCCTCGGCAGCGCACTCCAGGTCGGGGGCACGGGCAGGACTGAATGACAATTACATCCAGGTGTCTGCACACAAGAGGTCTCCCATTCTCCTGAATCCATCAAAAGTTATCCAAGCTGCTGCTGCTTCTACGCTTTGAAGTACAGAAGGCAAGTGGGTCAAGATCCCAGACCCAGACAGTGGCGGCCTTGTGGCTTCGAGTGTGCACGGTGTATCTTGCCAACAAGAAACAGCCCGGGGACGCTGGAGGGGTTATTGCTCTGCGATTCTGCTTCGCACGCAAGCCAGGAAGTGTGTGTCTGAACTCCCATCTGTGAGCGTGTCGTCGAGGTGTGCCCCTCCAACGACTTCGTGCTCGGCAGCGCGGACGCACCTGCCCGACCTCCCCGCGGGAACTCAACTTCCTCGGCCTGGGCGAGAACCAACGGCGGGGTGGGGCCAGGTGCGCAGGGGGCGGGGCCAGGGCCCGCGGGGCGGGGTTCACGTGGGTGACGCGCGGGGCCACGCCCCCACCTTGGGACAGACCCGGAAGCGGCGGCGGCGCCCCTCTGGGAAGATGGCGCCCTCGGGGCTGAAGGCGGTGGTGGGGGAAAGTGAGTGCCTCTCCGGGGCCGGGCTCTGGCGTCCCCTGGGGGGCGGGGGGCGGGGGCACACGGGCTCTGGGACCCCGGGGTCGTGGCGTCTGGGAGTTCTGGGCCAGGCTGGGCGCTCCAGCAGCTGATCCTCGAGGGGACGGGCGGGGACGGGCGGGGACTGGGGCCCCAGTTGGACGTCCCTGCTCTGCAGTGCCGGAGCGGAACAAAATTGGGGGACCGGACTCCGGGGATCCAAAGGGGACGGGTAGAGAGTGGCGTAGGCTGGGGCTCAGACTCCTCAGCCTCCTAGAATACCTGCCGGGGCAGGAGGGTACAGCTTGATACCCACACTAGGATTTCTTGAGCCGGACAAAGCTCAGGAATTGGATTCTTGGGACCCCCCGGGACTCTGATCAGCGATCCCAGAGGCTATGAGCGCTCAGGGTACGTGTCCAGGCCCCACAGGGGTGATGTAGGGGGCGCCTTCCTCCTTGCCCCATCCCCAGGAGCCTCTTGAAGCTGGAGAAGCCAGTCGTCCAGGCCTCACGAGACCCGGTTCTTGGGGGAGGGGTGGAGGGCGTCTCCTTCTCCACCCGGGGAGTTCCGGCCTCAGCTGCTTCTTCCGCCCTGGCCGCCCTGATAACAGTGGACATGACACAGTGGACGTGGCTGGGCGGGGCCACCCCGTTACTTCTTTCCTCTCCCTCCTCTAGGCAGGGCAGTCGGTGGCTCAGACCCCCTTAATTGGGGGAGATTGGAAAAACAGTGATTTCATTTTACAGATGAGAAAACTGAGGCCAGAGGTCAGTGAGATAGCCACAGCTAGGCATGCCTCAGCTGGGAACCAGGGGTCCTACATTTTAGACCAGGGTCAGGGGACTGGCTGAAACTAGTGAGGACAGCAGGAAAACTTGAGATAGTAGGTGGAGAAGCCCATAGCCTAGTTCTAGAGGCAAATAGAGCTGTAGATGATCCTGGCTCTCCACTTTTCATGCATCTAAAACGTGTTATTGAGTGGCTACTTTTGCCCAGGCACTCTGCCATTTAGGCACTCAGGATGCTTAGGTGAATTGCATGTTGCCTAAGAATCTGTTCCCTGTCTGTGAATTGGAGGTGACCCCAGAAGCCACCTAACAGAACTGCGGGGTAAAAATACGTGTTTCCCATGCAGTGTCTCGTGTCTGTAATCCCAGCACTCTGGGAGGCTGAGGCAGGAGGACTGCTTGAGGCTAAGCGTTTGAGACCAGCCTGGGCAACATAGCAAGACCTCATCTGTACAGAAATAAAAATAAATTAGGTGTATGTGGTACACACACCTGTAGTCCCAGCTGCTCGGGAGGCTGAGGTGAGAGAATTGCTGGAGCCCAGGAGTTGGAGGCTGCAGTGAGCTATGATCACACCACTGTACTTCAGCCTAGATCACAGAGTGAGACCCTCTTCTCTTTTAAAAAAAAAAGTAGGCTGGGTGCAGTGGCTCACGCCTTTAATCCCAGCACTTTGGGAGGCCAAGGCGGGCAGATCACGAGGTCAAGAGATCAAGACCATCTGGCCAACATGGTGAAACCCTGTCTCTACTAAAATACAAAAATTAGCTGGGCGTCGCGGTATGCACCTGTAGTTCCAGCTACTCACGAGGCTGAGGCTTGAACCCGAGAGGTGGAGGTTACAGTGAGCCAAGATGGCACTACTTCACTCCAGCCTGGCACCTGGTGACTCAGTGAGACTCTGTCTAGAAAAAAAAAAAAAGTAAATGTGAATTAAGATGGGGGTTCAGCCCCAAGGCTGAGAAGACTTAGGGCAGTGGTGGGACCAGAGAACCAGCATTCTGACCCCTCCCCTCCCTTCCCTGCAGAAATTCTGAGCGGAGTTATTCGGAGTGTCAAGAAGGATGGGGAGTGGAAGGTATGGGCAAGGCAAATGCCTCGGTACCCAGAGGTAGCCCCTGATCAGGCCCATGGGGAGCACCCTGAATGTGGAGACCCTGAGAACTGCCTGTCCACAGGGATGGAGTTGGGTGAATGGGTCCTGGGTCCTCCTGCCCAGCCAGCCCTTGAAACTGCCCCCCCACTGCCTTGGCCCCTCCTGGGGCCAGCTGTGGCCTCTTCCGCCTGCTTCTCCATCCATCTGTCCATCCATCTGGACAGGTGCTTATCATGGATCACCCAAGCATGCGCATCTTGTCTTCCTGCTGCAAAATGTCAGACATCCTAGCTGAGGGTATCACCAGTGAGTAAATGTGTCCCCAGTGAGATGGGACCTGAGTGTGGGACCCCCTGAATGTGCCCTGTTCCCAGGGTGCAGTACTGGAGTGTAGGATCCCCTCAAATCGTCCAGAACACCCAATTATACAGCTCTCTGCTGCACAGACAGCCCGGATCATGTGACCAAGTACATTTCCTAAATGTTGCAAGCTGACCTCGGGAGCCCATGGATTTCAGACCTCCCCTGCAGGACTCCTTGGCTGCAGTCCCTTCCTGACCATGCAGCCCCTGCATGGAGCCCTGTGTGGGACTCCCAGGGTGGACTCTGGATGTGGGGCCCCAAGAATGCAGAGCCTTCGATGGGTGATCCCAGGAGGTGCCCCAGTCACTTTGCCATTGAGGGAAAGGTGCTGAGGGAGCCTATCCTCCAAGAACCTCAGTTTCCCTGTCTGTAGAACCCCCAAGTGTGCAGAACCCCAAGTGTACAGAACCCT